AGAGGAACAAGTGTGTACATGAGAAGAGTGGATTGTATTCGGATTGGAGGGCATCGTTCGCTCAAAAAAAATAACTGCATCGCCTCTGAAGCTCTGTCTGCACATCGGAAACGTCAACATTCTTCCTGAAAAAGACTCGGAAAAAGTGCCCACTTTCACGCAGTTGTCCATCTGTGTCCATTTGTTGAATCTACATTTCATATCTTTTGACTTTTAGCCGATTTCCAACACTTTCAAAATCTCCCAGGCACTTTCGCACATCCAATTTGTGTAGTTCTTGGCCTCCCGGCACAACAGTGTTCTGTTGCAGAGACACTGCAGCTGCAACGCCTGCAGCCTGGCCCGTGACGGTGCACGCCTTAGGTCAAACACGCTGAAGCAATTCACTGAATTCGAAACAGAAATTCTCATAAAATTCCGGGCACAACAGAAACTCTCCTGTAGACTCTGTAGACTCTGTAGACTCTGTAGACTCTGTAGACATGCACAATTCATCACAATTCCAAGAGGCCATCATGTTTCGCATGGCCGCATGGGAAACCCTGTCGCCAGCCACAGCCTTGGATCGGTGAGGGTGCATCAGTGAAATGGCAGAGGACATGGACATGTTGCCACAATGACATGCTACTAATTGCTACTACATTAATAATTACATTAATATCATTAATTTACTTGCCGCATGTACAACGGAGCTGCAAGTCTTTGATGTGTCTTGAGCGTAGTGAGGCGTAGTGTAGTGTTAGCATGACTGGAAGATCAAGAATTAGCCTCGAATTCATCTTCACAGCGAATCTGGAAATGAGTTACGACAACCTGATGTCTGGTGCATTTTGCATTATTGTATTTTTTTCAGAGCATTTATTGGATCCAAATAGTTGTGCTGTCACTCCCTGAGAGACAGTAGGCAAGAGGCCCCGGTGTGAAGCCGAGTGACACGGCCGGCCACCAGCAAATTGTCGGCGCCACTGCTTGGCAGCAAGCAACGGTATGGCACCTGGAGTCAGTCATGGACACTTCAATTTGCTCTGCGCAGCACTCCAAGACGAAAACAGCCATAAATCAGGCCATAAAGTTCAAGTGACAACATGGTCTGTGCATGCTGCCTGAAAGAAGCGACCAGTCGTAGGGAGGATTAAGATGTTATAACCTGAAACGGGCCAAAGCTGAGGCTGAAAGGCCAAAGCTGAAAGGCCAAAGCTGAAAGGCCAAGGCTTGGCAATTCTTTGTGTCTGTGCAAAAGCGGCACAAGCTAAACCGCTTTAACCTCGCTCAGACTTTGTGTATTGCGTAGACCCACCCGGCCCACCTGGCCATCCTACTACCTTCTGTAAATCAAACAAGTTGCCATCAATGAATTCAGGGAAAATACCAACTGCGTCTTCAAAGCGCGCTTGGTTGCAAACGTCCTGACCTGGGACCAGACGCCAAGCCGGTTGACAATGCAAAGACAATGTATGAATCTGATGGTAGTTCTCACTCGTTGCTCTCTCTTGGGATTTGACTGTCAATTTCATGTCAACAGCTGCAACATGATTCTGCAACTGTCCTTCTTCCAAGGCACCAGTCAGGTTGTACCTGCCAATGATCTTGCGGGAGTCACGTGTGCCGACTGTCATTGCAAAGTTTCGAAGCTTTGCATTCCTCAGAATCTTGTGACTTGGCAGCGGCGGACCAGAAGTGCAACAAACCAAGGCAACCAACAGGTAGTAAAATTGTTGGGAACCACAAGGGGACGGGACTCTTGAAGCAGGTCTTTGCTCGATTTGGAGGCAATTCAGCATGCTCTCCAGTTTCTATTCAAGGAAGAATCTGGGAATCATATACAGTTCCCCAAAACATAAACAAACAACTGGTCTAGGACCAGGAAAGAGTTTTCAGTTCCCGTGATTTGAGAGTCTGCAAATGTCTGCAAGCATTTTCCATCATTTAAAAATCATGTTCCATTCATTTTCCATTCGCCTGGGTCTCAGACTCGAAGCCAGGCACAGTGTGCCGCAGTGCATCAAGAGCATGCATCACATTTTGACGCCCTTCTATCTCTGCGTCCGTAAGGCTCCTGTGACGGTCCGGTCTAGGGACGGTATGGGATGTGGCATGCACTTTTGATGACGCAACAGAGCTTGGACGCACAATCTATTCGCGTAAAGGGTTGCATTTCATATGAGAGAAACTGAGAAACCATTTCTTTTATTTTCTTTTTACTCTTTTAATATCTTTTAAGGCTTGGAGCCAAGGACGAGAAAACCAACAAATGACGCCCGGCACCTCACACACGTTGCATCTACTCCTGGTCGGAGAGGGCAAATCAAGAGCCGTATTCGAAACAAAATATGAGAGGTCTTGGCAGATCCGTTTGAATTTTCCCAGAGGTTCTCTCGAAAAGATGGAACACAGCTTGACAAGCAAAAAATCCCTTGCCTCAATCAATATGAAAATTCACATTCTATCAGATCTTTGAGGGAAGGAACCAGAATGAACCATGTGCTTGCAGGAAACTCTTGCTTTGAAACCAAATATGCTGCGTTCAAGAAGCAAGATTTGATCAGGAAGCAGGTATCCAACTCCGAATGATATTGGATCGAAAGCACGCTTCTGTAGAACCCTGTGAACGTGTACAGTAATATGCGCAGTCTTGTGAAGGCATGTGAAGCTTTCATCTGCGCAAATTCTGCTGCTTACGTCATCTGCATAAGCTATGCTAAAACACTTGGAATTGAGTGCCTGGTGGGTCTGAATTCTGTATTCACCACTGCCGCCGCTACAATCACAACAGGATAGTCTTCGTCCGTATGGCCGGTGGCCGTACCAGTGTGGCAAGCCCTTTGACACATTTTGACACCAGGTATTTGAAACACACTGGAGCTTCAAGTTCTTCTCAGTTCACATGTACTTGTTTGCATCGGAAGCGGCTGGGTGGCGTAGAGACACTGACTTCATCCTTTATTCTTTGGATTTCTTTGGTATGCTGTGACTTATTGTGCCTTTAATTCTCCCATCTAGTAACTCTTTCCACCTTTCTTCGTCTCTTTGTCTTCCTTTTTTGCTTCTCCTGCTTCTTAAACCCATATTAGATCCAGCCCTTTCCTCTTGCTCCTGAAATCCTCTGTATTTCCATGTTTAAATCAGCTTCGTCCAGTTCAGCAATGTCCCAATCGGTGATGTTGACAAGTCTTTTTTGTCATACAATGTCGTACATACTTTGTCATCATCTCTGCCAATCTCTACCGTGGAACTATCTTTCCTCATCTTTCCTCAAATCTTCCCGGTATCCCCCACCTTTCTTGTGCACCAGATTGAGGTTCGTAGCCTCTCCAGCATCTGATAAGGCCGACCAACTTCCACCAAAGTTTCCGATCTTGTCTTCGGGGATGACTCCGGCCTGAGACGCTTGAGCCACTTGAAACTTCCTTCCCCCAAACAGGTCAAATTGCCATGGCCTCGTCGTTGTTTTAATCATTGTTTAAGCTCTGGTTAAGGCTAAGGTGTTTCCATTTGTTTCCTGGCCGGTCTGCAACTCAAGTAGGAATCCTCCGAGAATTTCCTATCTTTGAACACAACCTTCATCGCAATCAACTGAGCCACAACTTCTGCTTCACACAAATGCTTTGGACAAGCACACCCATGAACTCAATGCAGAGGTCTAGAGAGTCTTAACGTCACCCGTCAGGCCTCAGCAGCCTTTTCAAACTCACGGTCAAGGTATGGAGATTTCAGATGCTCCTCTGCTTGAGCTTGGTGGGTTGAACGTGTCATGGCTATGTCCTGCTACATGACGAATTTGTACCTGTGAGTAGATGAATTTAATCGCAGAACCCAAACAGATAGGGGCTGCTCCCAAATGACATATGAAATCATATGAATAACATTGAATAACACTCAGTGGTTCTTGTAGACTCAAGAGCAACAGAGCAGGGCGGTCAATTAACCCCACGGCTGAGTTGTCTAGACAGCTCCAACACTTGCGTTCATGTCCTCAGATTAAAGCGTTTCTCTTCCAAGGTATTAAACGTGTACTGAGTAACTACTGTAGAAGAGAAATGATTGAACCACAAAAGTGATGAAAAACCGTACGAAGTAAAAGAAAGTCCAAGGATACTTGGCAAAGCAGACAAATAAAACAAAGGCCGTACGTGACATGCAGTAAAAATGTTGCAATTTTGCCTTAAGACATCAGAGGGGCGGCTCTCCTCCTTGCCCGAGGTGGTCTGTTCCCAAGTTCGACTCCAATCCTTGTAGGTGGCAGGATTCCTGAGGCGAGAGCAAGGCGAGCGCTGCAAGGCTAGAGAGCAGGAATACATAGGAATACACTGTTCATTACATGTTCATTACATGTTCATTACATGTTCATTACATGTTCATTGCACTTTTGCCTTTGTCAACGCTACACACCGAGTGGGAAAAACTTATGTTTCTAACTTTTTTGGCAAGTCCATTGACTCCACTGGATGAGGAAATCTTCACCACACCAGCCGCTCGTCGGCTGCTGCCAGCTGCTCAACAGCTAAAAAGGTTGCCGTTCAACGGTTTAACAACAAGTTAGCACCGACAGCTGCGACAGTTATTTGAGTTGGTCACTGAGTCCTGGATGTGTAGTCCTTAAACTTGCTCACGTCCACATTCACTGCGTTGAAAACCTTTGGCCACAGGATAATCAATTGGACAATGCCTGCAAGACTTTGACAAGTTCGGCCACTTTGGCCATGCTTCTGGTGACAAGATTTCCTGTCGACGAGGACAAACATGAGTGCCCGAGTGCCCAAGACACACAAGCGACTGCAAGTGCTCGTTCGAGCTGCCCAGCATCAGATTAAGGTTTGGATACGTGGGGCACGTATGTTTGGAGTTTGGATCATCTTCATTGGCCCGGAATGAAAGATCCTATAGTAATACTATAGTACAATATAATGTCTTTGCCAAGCACTCTATGCATGTTTATGCCCTTACTGACTCTTTCACCCCCCTTGGCACACGATTCTCAATTCTCTTGCAGTTTCCATCCCTTCCAAGCTGGGCTACGGTTGTCACACCCAACGATTGGCTAATGTCGATCACGGAATACTTGCAGCCAGCGAGGTGAGCCACATCCGCATCTCCTTCTGGGTGGTGATCGGAACGTGGAGATTATTTATGATTTATGAACCTGAAATATCCTGAAATGGGTTTATGATGCAGTTTTTCCACTTACTCCGTGGATTCCATTTATTTCCAATCACTGAGTTTAATTTTTTCCTTGCTGATACGCTAGCACAGCAAAGTGTTTGCCGACAAAACACTACGCGAGAAACAAGCAACACATAGCAACACCGCATCAACTTCTCTGCAAGCAACTGCAGTGCAAGTTCGGGCCTGTGCAGTCAATGACTCGATCTGCCAGAATGGCTTGACGTCCAGACTTCGACTCAGTGATGACTCCGTAGATCTGGTTCTCTGAATTGATTAGAACCTCACGCCAAAAATGCCTAGTGGAAGTCTTGCTGATATGAGGACATGTTCTCAAATGTTCGCAGTACCAAAGGCAGTGTTTGGAGGCAAGAAACGCAAACGGGTTTGACAATTGGATTAAAAAATGCCTGGCTACTGAAGCGACCCTGAGACATAGCTGCAAAAGGCAAAATGACAAGGGATCCTGCACTACCCTCTTAGTGACCTCAACTGGCCAGGGTCAATGTCAGAAAGAAATGAGCCGGCCTCAACTACCCAAATGTGAAGAATAGGTCGGACTCCAGATTCCTCAAAGATCCACCATGCCAGAATATGCCAGGTGCATTGGAATGTAAAAGCAGGTGTCCAAAGCAGGTTTGTAAACACGGCATGCATTAAAAAAAAAACATAAAAGGGTGTAAAAGGCCGTTCCAAAGGATAAAATGAACGACTGTGAAAGCAAAAAGCATTGAAGGCATTGCTCACAATATGTCCTTGATGAGGCTATCAGCAACCAGCTTGAACTTCTCCTCAGGCCAGACTTGTGTGCAGCATAAACCAGAATTGTCCCCGAACTCTGCTGACGTCATGCGCTTCCAAAGGTAAAATCATTGTGTTCCCTTGACCATACTTGACCATACTTGACCATCTCCATTCATCACAGTCGGGAAATCAGAACACTCTCAGACAAACATAGAGATGATATGAGATGATCTTGACGCTACACCCTTTCGTTCTGCCCTTCTTGTCCAGAATTGATGTGCAAAAATATGTAAAATGCATGTAAAATGCCTTTGCTCCGGTCGAAATCAAGGAGCTGCGTCTAAGCAGTCTGAGTCATTGTAGGGCCACTTCGTAGTACCCCCCATGCGTTCCGCCACTCGTTCCATTTCGCGTCCAATTCCCTCGCAATCTTCGGTTCCCTCCTTGGGCACATCCGAGGTCACGACGGTCACGAGCACGGCACAGCCCAAACATGACTTAGTAGATCTTAGTAGTGACATGTAGTGGCTTAGCAAATAACTTGGTAATGATCCATAGTAATGACCCATATAATCGATGCATAATCGATGCACAATCGATGCATAAGCATTTGCAGGGCACCTGCAAAATCGCCAGCGGATAACCTGTAGTTTTAACCTGTGGTTTCAATCTGAAGGGATCGTAAGCTGAGCTTCATATCGGTACCATCCCAGCGTCTCCATACCAACTGTGGTGATGGTGCCTGGGTTGACAGGAAGTTGGAAGAGAGCACAAGGAGATGTGGACACATTGTTTCAAACAACTTCAAACAAGGGCACATTTAAAAAGAGTGGGTCACAAAAGAACGCTTTATGCGGCATTGCATTGCAGGTGCATCGAGAAATAAGTGGTGGCTAGAGTAGAGCGTTGCGCAAGGCAGGAAGCGATAGCAAAAGACTTTGGTTCCATCTCAAAGGAACACAACAAACACTGCATTCAGACTATGCTTGAATTATATGAGCTTATTGTTGGCGCCAGATACGGTCCATATCTCTATGAATAATATTCTATATACATACATATATAGTTATGTATTCAAAGTATACTGCAAATGTGACTCCAGATGCATACAGGAATGTATATGCAGCAATAGAGTCCGAAAAACACAATCTCTCGATCCACGCTTGGTTGATCAGAGATGAAACGAACAAGGAATGGCAGACGTGACATTTCAGGCATGATTGGACTAAATATTATAGATATCACTGATATCACTCATCAAACCATTGACCAGCGGGACCAGCGGGACCAGCGAGACCAGCGGGACCAGCGAGACCAGCGAGACCAGCGAGACCAGCGAGACCAGCGACCATGCGGTTTCTCTGCCTTCTCCGGTCTCCGCGCCTCCGAAGCAGCCATAGCGCTCCAGCAGCATCGTATCTGCTCCAGCGCGGCGAGCACCCAAGGCTGCGGAAAGGCCTCGCGAAGTAACTTTCCAAAATGAAAAGTTCAACATGTTCAACGCAACGAATGTCTGTTTGATGTTAATTCCTCTGCACAAACGCGAAAGGAGTGTGCAACAGCAAACCCTCCATCTTTGTCATTTTTGCTTCAGACAGCTCTAAGAGAGACTAGCAAGTTGCATCGAATATGTTTAGATAATCCAAGTCTAAACGAGGAACTAGCAAGTGTCTTCGAATCACAATCAGATTTTTTACTACACTTTCGGGGATTCTAGAACAATGCCGCAACATGCCGCAACATGGGGCGGAAATTTCAAGGGACAAGACATGACAAGACTGCCCTAGGCGTCTTGGCGTCAATGAATTTGCTGAACTGCGCAGCCCTGGATCACAATGACACCGAACAGGACACCGGCAAGCTTTCGGAAGGCGATTCGCCAAGACGACATGCACTGACATGCCCAGTCAGGAACGAACAAATGGAGAAAGGACAAGACCATTTCAGGGGAGAAAGGATGGAGAAAGGTTGAGCTACAAATACATACAAATACAACATACAAAGCTTTGTGTGCGAGTCATCATTGGGGTGCCTTCCGCGCTTGTCTCAACATCTGAGACAACTTTGCGTTACAGACTTAGTTGGAATATGGCTATTCTAAAGAAGCATGAACAAATGCAAGTTTGCAGACATGCAAGCGGGTCACATCCTCCCGAAATCTAGAATCTAGACACTGACTTTGGCTGGAAAAGCATTGAAAAGCATTGAATTTTGTCTGATTTCTTTCGATTTCTTTCCAACTGTCGCCGAAGCACGCGAGTCTGATGCTGAACGCCAGTGTTGCCATTGAGCGAGGAAGTCGCTTGGCGATTTAGTTGGCGACTTGGTGATTTAGTTCACTTATCAATCGGTCAGGGAGTTCGTTTGTGCATGGCTTGGAGTTCGCAATTTACTGCTTTGGTGAATTTCTTCACTTGTCCAGAAGTTATGCAGTTATGCAGAAGCATTTGTTCTGCAGGACCTGGACCTAGCGTGGTGAGCTCTTTGAAAAGTATCTGCACTGCTCAAAATGGAGTAAAAATGATTTTCAAATTGATTTTGAATGATTTTGATCTGTAGGCGACCTGGATTCTGATCTGCTGTGCGTTTAGCTTTGCTTTCCGCACCTGCAGGTCCTGCCCCCACAACCAAGACTTCACATCTGTCCAGGATAGGTACCTGGCACTCGTCTCAGTTTCTCTCAGTTTGACTGTTTCTGAAGTGGGTGGAACTTGAAGAAACTTGATATACTTGTCTGGGTACAGTGTCAGTATCAATATCTTTGGGTACTTTCACTGTAGTCCACTGCAGTGAAAAGCATGTTGCTACTCTGGGCATCTCCTGGGCATCTGCTGGGCATCTGCTGAGGCATCTGCTGAGGCATCTGAGACTCCACACCATCAATTCTGTAGCCACAAGTCGCCGGTATGATTTATGTGTTTTTTTCTGTCATTCGCCCAACGGTACAGCAAACACATCTATTCCTGCACCTGACGTTGAGGTTCCAAGATGTGGCGGCCCAGCACTTTCACACGGCCCCTGGAAAAGAAAGACTTGACATCTTCATGGCAGATTTTATAGAATGGAAATCAAAAAACATCAGACATTTTGAAATGCGAAAGCTCCAAAACTTTTGTGATGAAATCTTCATGATCTTGTGCGATGTTCGTGTGCACAGAAAGATGACCTGATATGACCTGTCAGTGACCTGTCAGTGACCTGTCAGGTGACCTGTCCAAGTTGAAGCGGACCTGGCAGCTTCATCCTCCCGGCTGCGCACATGGCTCTTCAATTGGGTCCGATCTGGAGCACCAGACTGACGCTCCCCGGACCACCTGCGACAAGCACAATGCTCGCACAATACTCCACACATCTCCACACCACTATTGGATTCTCGATTGATATCAACTATTATCAACTGATCACGGTTGATCTCAATTGAATCAAACCAGTTAAAGTTCGGTCAGGACTTGCAGTTCATATCATTTTTTGTCCTCAAAAATATTGTTAGAATATGTTAGAGCCAAAGCCAGACAAGACTGGATAGCACGGTCCATCATGGTCCATCAACCTTGTGCAGTATCGTGCAGTATCGTGCAGTGCGATGCTCAGCCATTCGTTTGCTGTTGCAGTTGGTTGCAGTTGCTCTGCTCTTGGCCTGGAAACCATGCGGTTGGCTCTTCGGGTAAATTCGTCTTCGCTGTCAGAAGCATCGATCTGGAGCGATTTGGCCAAAATAACTCGTCGAAGAAGTGAAAACAAGACTGCTTTGACAGGACTTCAAAACGACAAGATGCGACAAGACTGCTATCAAGTGGAATCGGTTGAACAGTTCACTGGAAACAGCAAACAAACGGTACCCGAGGAACTTGGGATGCCATTTAACTGCCGGCACAAATATGTATCCTTTCAGACTTATTCACACATGCCATCTGCGTCAGGTAGCGTCACTGCTGCAGTCAATACATTCAGTACACCATGACTACACCAGTTTTTTTTACAGCGGTTACAGCGGTTACAACTGTACATCCCAGATCGGCTGAAGCCTCCTTCGACCTGAAAGACATGGAGATTCTGTGGTGGCTTCAGAGGCTGGTGAACTGCACAAATGCTTGAGACGTGACCGAGGAGCGCAGCGGGTTGAGACATGTTGAGACTGTCCATGTAAAGCAGCTTTGAATGCCAAGACTGCCAAAGCTGAAAGCTACATCAAGATCTTCATCAAGATCTTCATTGAGGCCTGAGGTCCATGAGCATGCTTTACAGTAGACTTGGCATGGCTTGATGAACAATCCCCTGGTATCGTTTTTGCTCTTGAAAGTCAGAGTTTCCACAACTTTGGGCAAAATACAGTAAAACTAGGAAAACTATGGATTTACGACCGTTTATCTTTGGGACACGGGTTAAACCTTGTTGTCCATGTCCTATATATCAAGACATGCAACAACAGGACTCATGCTTCGATCGCAGCACCTGACGCTTCCACATGCAGTGTGGAAAAGAACGTGTATGTGTATACACATCTACATGCATATATCATATATCATGTTGAACAGAGAATTTGGGCTCTTAAATCTGATGAACACTCCTGAGCACTGATCAGCACCTTTTACTCAGTCAGCTCGAAGGTAGCTGAAAGCACTAAAATGGCTGCAGCACATATACAAACATATATGCTACATGTGACATAGGTCTACACTGTACACATATCTGATCACGCCTCCCGAGCCTGTTTAAAAAACGGCGCTCCCGTCCAATTATTTGAACTAGGCGAGTTTTGATATGTACAGCTACTCATAGCCACGCTCAAGCCATCTATGCTCTCAGTGTCAGGTGATGCTCACCTTCCAGAAAGTGAAAATTCATATTTCGCAAGGCTTTATTCATTTTCTCTTCTATGACAGGTTTCGTCAAGACGTCGGCAAGCATATCGCCAGTGTCGACCTTCTTCAGCCGAAAATAGCGCTTGGCAACGCGGTCTTGTACCCAATGGTATTGAGTATCCACGTGCTTGGCCTTGCCTAGTCCTCTGCGAGAACCCATTGCTATTCCTGCACTTGCATCCATGAAAACTTCACTCTCAGGTTGCAAACCCCAGTCTTTGGCGGTTGAAACTTCTCCCAGCAAATTGCTGGCACCGCTCACAAGAGCGTAATACTCACTCTCTCCAGACGAAAGACTAACAACTCCTTGTCCTTTAGAATAAGTCTTGATACAACAACCTCCGGCCATCAGGACGCCTCCTGACACGCTCTTCCTCGTCTTCACGCAACCAGCGTGGTCAGCATCAGACCACATCACAAATGGACTGAGTTTGCTCTGATGAGGAAAGAATTGTGCCATGCGTGGTCGATACCTTAGGTATCGTGCAACTCGTTTGAGCATAAGCATGTGGCTGGTAGTTGGTCGTTGTAGCCCTTGTGCTAAAGATCTTGTCGCTACTTGCAGATCTGGTCGATCTTGTGCCAAATAAGCTGCTCGCATTGCAACTGATCTGTACTGGGTTGCTTCTTCATCATTGAGAAAAACAGTGGCGTTCTTGAGGTCTTCCACTGAACCCTTGGCAAGTGGTGTCTTGACTTTGGCTCCTCGGGGACCATCTCCGAGTAAATCAATCACCAACTCTGCATGACGTGCATCTGGTTCCCACCAAATTCCATTCTCCTTCCATGTGATAATTCTGTTCAGGACTCTGATGTCCTGGATGGTGTTTGGTGTTCCTGGTGGTCCTAAAATACCACGTTCCACACATTTCCACTTCTTCGACAGCTCTTCATGAAGCCATTTGATGTTGTCAAATGTTCCGGCTGTTGTAAAATCATCTCCATGTACAACAGTTCTGAGGTCTCGGCCTGCATGGTAGTAAATGCATGGATTGCTTTTTCCTTGCTTGAAACCTAAGGCTAACATAACCTTCTGTATTTGCAACTCCCAGTTGAGAGGTGCGTCTCTGGTTCCATACAAAGACTTGAGCAATCTTCCTACCACATCTTCTCCAGGCTTCTTTGCTTCTGCAGGAAGTTCCACATAGATCTCACGCGTCGCATCTGAGTAAAAGTGGGCGCGTTTCACATCCAAAAATCCTAGAAGTCTACGCTTGCGATAGGCTTCCTTGACAGCTTTTCCAGCGTCTGGCAACTGAAACGTGACGGCTATTGTAACTAGCATCTTCAAAGCCGACAAACTGGGCATAGCTGCGAAGAACTCATCAAAACCTGAGCCCTTCTTGACTTCTTGAGCTACTAACCTACTTCTATAAAGTGGATTCTCTTCATCCTGCTTGTTGACATCTACCCATCGTGTTCCAATGGTGCGTACCCCTTTGGGCATCTTGTGTCTGGGAATCTTTTCCCAAACTGGAAAACTTTCGATGATTTCGACCTCATCTTTTCTGGCTTGTTCTACACCTTTGCTGTCTAAAATCTTTCCACTGATATCATCGTAATAATACCATGTGGCTGCTTCATCTTCCAGTTCTGGTGGAAGAGGAATTGTCTCTTCACAAACTGGCTCTTCTTCACCTTCAATGGACTGAAGGTACTTCTCCCGATCTTCCATGATCAGGTTCATAAGACATTGGTCTATGTCATCCATGTCTTCTGGTCTCTCATTCTCAGGTGGCCGTTTGGTGCCCTTAGACGCCTGAGCTGAAGCAGCTCGGCTGTCCTTGGACTTTGACGTTTCGCCTCCTGAGTCTGCAGGTCTTTTCCGACCTTTGGTTGGAGACATTTCCAACCTTTTGTGTGCTCTTTCTTCTTGCTCGCCTCCTGCCCTCTTGGCTGAGGCTGTGCTTGCGCTTGCGCTTTCTGCAGGTGGATCTGCAGCTTGTCCGGTAGCAGGACTCTGCCTCGCGATAGCAGGTCCAGCTGTTGGCAAACTTGGAGCAGATTCCCCTGTGGCTGAGTACCACAGTTCAGTGACGATATCTGCGTCATCAATCAAAGGCGCGTTGATGACTTCATCTCCTAAACTAGGATCCATTGGTTCAGACTTGATAATGTTTCCTGTTTTGAAATCTCTGGTGACTCTCCACCAGACATTATCCCAACTGGGACCTTCTGGCATAGTACCCTTGAGATACCTTGCATTCTTGTCAAGGCGCGCAAACACCTTAAAACCGTGAGGAACTTCTTGTGGTTTCTCACTTGAATACCCATAAAGAATCTTTGTGCCTTCTTCGGACACTTCTTGTTTCTGACCAGTGATTTCAGAATCAACCTTGGCCGTATGTTGGGCTACTCTCAGGTTGCCCTCTTCTGCTTGAAGCAGACGTTCCATCCTTTCTCTGCAGGCTGGAGTGTGATGAACTCCAGTGCCTCTTTTGCCAATTCTAGTGGCATCACAGGCGACACAACCAGCGGTGTAGCCATACTTGTCCAAATCACGTTTGGTGATGTAAAGTCGTCTTGTCGACTTCTTTGGTGGCTCAACTGGCACTGATGGCGCCAGTGGCTGCTGATCTCCCCCAACAATCTGAGGAAGCAAAACATCATCTCTTTTTGATGCTTGAGGATCCCAGGGAACCCCAGTGACTGACATCAAAGTTTCGACATCATATCTGTCGTCAGCACTCTTGCGTCGAATGCTTTGCACAGTGAAAACACCTGATGCATTTCCCACTATCTTCTCAGTGGTATTGTCTTTGACTCCCAAGAAAACTCCTTGGTGCCATCTTTGTTCAAACTTGTGACCTCTTTTGAGGAATTCAATTGTTTCCCCAAATGGTGGTAATGACACTCTCCACTCACGACCACGGTGTCTAGAGTACGGTGTCTTCCCATCTTTGACTTCCAATGATCTGTGAAACAAATTGTAAGTGGTGCTAGCATGTTCAACCAACCATGTCAAAACTGGGTGGTCGTCTGGCACCTTTCTTCCATAGCTTGTCTCCAAGGCACTTCTGAGTGTCCTGGATTGAGATTCAATAGCTTGAACTGCTCTTTCAATTTCCCCTTTGGATTCTGAGACTCCTTTGGGAACTTTTTCCAAAACCAACTGTTTGTCAAAACCATTCTTGGCTGCCTCAACTACGGAGTTGAGTGCAGGCTCTGGGTCATATCTCATGACCATCTTGGGGTACCCAAACTTCTTAAGGTCATTCAAAAGACACTTAGATCCAATAGGACCTTGGGTAACTCCCTTGTATGGCAAAACGTGTGCGTAGGTCAACTTGGACCATCGATCATGTACTATCAAAACTGGTGCATGCTTTTTCTGCACTTCTTCTGTGATGACAGTGTCATCCACTGAATTCATGAAACAATAGTCAGCTGAGATCACAGGAACTGTTTCATCTGAATGATCTACTTTGACATGTCTCATTGCCTTTGCCTTACCTCGAATGCAATGTTCACACCAACTCCTAAAAGGATAATGGCTGACAAAATGCTCTTCTTTTTCTCTCTGCGTCGGCGCTGCTGCAGTTGGTAGCGCTTGAGAACCTAGCTTACTACTGCCCGGTTCATCATCTCCACTACCTGCGCTCTCTGTGGTCTCCACAGGACTTACGCCTTCAACCCTTCTATGGGCTGCCCATGAAAATCCATGGCTATCTTGAAAACACCTCCAGTCATGGTGACTGGAACCTTCTTGGCTCCCCTTTGCAGAAACGATCCATTGGGGCCGAAGGTTACTGTCCAGCCTTTCTCAACCAGCTTGGACACAGACAACAATGGCTTTGCAACATCCATTGCCCGGAACTGTCCCACACCTTTGACTTGTGGGCCTCCTTTCTCACCCATGGTCACCATAGGGTTGCACACCCCATGCACCTGGACTGGCTGCCCTGATGCGTTGGTGAACGGCTTCTCATCCACAGGTGTCATAGCCAACTCCAATGGCTGTGCCAATTCCTTGGGTAGGCAACTGGTTGCTGCCCCTGAGTCAACGGTGGCCCAGACAATGGTATCCACCTGAGATGCCAAACTTCCCAGGAAGTCGACGTTGGAGTCTGATCGAACTCCTCCTCCTGGTGAATGCTCCCTGAGCTTGGGAGATGGTGACTTCTCCTTCTTCTTCCTGACTTTTCTTTCCACAAAGTTGGCAGCTTCACGCACTGCCTTTTCCAAGAATCTCTTGGCACCTGTGCTGATTTTCCCCTTGCCCTTGGACGCCTGG